AAAAAACACTGTATCTGCTGACTGCAATGAGGTATGCCTGTATTCAGTTTTAAAAGACATTACTCATATGCTAAAACTGATAAATTTAGGAACAATGAATACATTTAAGTAATCTACCTGTCAAGGGTTTTAAAAATCAGCCTTGGCCGGGCGCGGTGGCTCACGCCTGTAATCCCAGCACTTTGGGAGGCCGAGGCGGGTGGATCACGAGGTCAAGAGATCGAGACCATCCTGGTCAACATGGTGAAACCCCGTCTCTACTAAAAATACTAAAAATTAGCTGGGCATGGTGGCGTGTGCCTGTAATCCCAGCCACTCAGGAGGCTGAGGCAGGAGAATTGCCTGAACCCAGGAGGCGGAGGTTGCGGTGAGCCAAGATCGCGCCATTGCACTCCAGCCTGGGTAACAAGAGCGAAACTCCGTCTCAAAAAAAAAAATCAGCCTTAAGCATGTAAATTAGTCACATGACCTAATGGCTCAGAAGAATTGGAATCTCGTGCTATACTTTTTCTTCCAGCTTTGCCATAAAGTAACTGTGAAGCTCTGTGCAATCTCCTTCACCCACTGTCTGGTTTCCCCTCTGTCAAATGAGGATGCAGAATCAAGTCTGCCAAAGTCTCAGCGAAGACAACCACATAGACATGAGTAACATACAGATATACAAAGGTTACTCTGAAAACAAAATTAAGACTACTGACAAACATGACCTTCTCTAGCAAGAATTTAGCAACTGGGACTGCTTAGTGACCTACGAAAAATTCACATTTTTCTCTGAAATGTTTAGACAACTAATATCAACATGCTTAAATATTGGTTAGATAAGCAGCTAAGACACTAATAAGACAGCAAAAGCTTGGCAAAAAACTGGGCAGCAAGGTGACCAACAGTTTAATTTCAAAGGTAAAACCACTAATTCATGTATTACTGATATCTCAGTATGAAAGCAGAGCTCTGTCACTTACCTAACTCATTTGTCCCTCCTTTTCAGTTACCTTTGCTACTAACCTAGATTTGACACTAGCCCTCACTTCTTAGGCCTAGACTCCTATATAAAAACTTTTTCATTTTTATTTAATAATTTTTAGATGGAGTTTTGCTCTTGTTGCCCAGGCTGGAGTGCAATGGTGCAATCTTAGCTCACTGCAACCTCTGCCTCCTGGGTTCAAGCGATTCTCCTGTCTCAGCCTTCTGAGTAGCTGGGATTACAGGCATCTGCCACCATGCCCGGCTAATTTTCGTTTTTTTTTTTTTTTTTTTTTTTTTTTTTTTTTAACTAGAGACGGGGTTTCTCCATGTTGGCCAGGCCGGTCTCGAATCCTGACCCCAGGCGATCAACCTGCCTTGGCCTCCCAAAGTGCTGGGATTATGGCATGAGCCACTGTGCCCAGCATAATAACTTCTTAATGGATCTCCCACCTCCAGACTCTGGTTTCTAATTCATCTGATGCAGCACAAATGAGAAGCATCTTTCTTTTTAGTTTGTTTTTTTTTTTTTTTTTTTTTGAGACGGAGTTTCGTTCTACAGGCATGCACCACCATGCCCAACTAATTTTTGTATTTTTAGTAGAGACGAGGTTTCACCATGTTGACCAGGATGGTCTCGATCTCTTGACCTCGTGATCCATCTGCCTTGGCCTCCCAAAGTGTTGGGATTACAGGCGTGAGCCACCGCGCCCGGCGAGAAGCATCTTTCTAAAGGACCATTAAGCAATAATTAAATGGTCCTTCAGCAAGGTGCACTCCTGGAGTTAAAACCATGGACTGATTTCCCTGAAATGGAATTTCCTTCAATTCCAAGCCCTCTCTAGTTTGGGTACAATTCTCCTTTCAGTTTTATCTCACGAAACTCTTCTCTGCCACTCGGAGCCACAGTCAGCTAGCACTGCAGGTGCCTTGTTTCCTTAGTGTTCACTAGGCCTTCCCATCTCTATGACAATCTCTTGACCACTTCCTCTTCCTTCAACTCTGTGGCCCAACTGAAATACCACTTCTTTGCCTTCAGTACAGCTGGAATCCACAAATATTTACAGAATGTTTTCTATGTGCAAAAAGGTGCTAGAAGCAGTGGAAGAAAAGATGAGGAAGCCCCCTAAAAGCTCATAAAAGATCAGGAAAAAATACAGTTCACAAATGATAATATCCCAGAAGAACATGACCTCTTCGTTCTCCTTGACTTTGTACCACAGTTATTTTGTACAGTCTCCAAGGATGGGGACCATGTTTTGATGTCTTTTTAATTCATTACAGCATCAAGAACAGTACCAGCTGAATGATTACAGACTAATCCAGATCTTTCAACTCTTTTTTTTTCCTCCCTTACTTGATTAAAAAAAAAATTATATTTCTCATCTCTTGGGCAAATTTTGCCCTTTATACAACTCTACCATTTATTCTAAAGTAGCTCATTCAGGATACCAATCAAAAGTAGGCTAATATTAAACGTGGAAAAAGTTACTGTGTTTTGCTTAGCCTCTTAGAATAGAGAGAAGGATCTAAACAACGTGGTCAGTTATAGCTCGTGGATTTTCTCCATTAAAAGCGTAGAGAAGTTGCCTGTTCTTTTTCTCCACATACACTTAGGTTGCCATAATGTTAGTTTCCTCATAAAATAATTTCAGGGAGGGTGGGTGGCAAAAATAAAATTAAAACTAAAATAACTTCAGCTTTTACCATTACTCTCTAAAAAACATAATATTCCTTTTCTATTCAGAGTATAGCTTCTCAGGCTCAGAAAGTTGCCAATATACGTAACATACGTACCATACATTTTTCAAGGAAAGGATCATTTTAACCACTTCTTTCTCTCCCACGTTGCTTAGAATTTTAAAATGCAGATGTTACTGCATTTACAAAGAAGGGAAATTTTAAAATCATTATAATTTCTATCAAAATTCAACCCCTATTTATTTTAAAAATTCGTGTCTATGGACCAATGATACTCAAATACCACAAACCTGAATTTCTGAACCTGAGATCCTCCCCACCCCAAAACACTTTTTTAAGTAAATAAAAATTTGGGCCTAGATATCAATTCTTCTAAGTTTACATTTTCCGAGAACTTGGTGCCATGATTAATCATATACTTGATCGAGGGTCCAGGGTTCAAGTCCCAAAGGAAAAAAAAAAATTCATACACTTGATCAAAGTAACGCCAGCCAAAGACATTTTAGAAACTGTCATAACATATAGAAAATAAACACAGGAAGCCGGGTGCAGTGGCTCACGCCTGTAATTTCAGACCTTAGGGAACCCGAGGTGGGCGGATCACTTGAGACCAGGAGTTTTGAAACCAGCCTGGCCAACATGGCGAAACCCCATCGCTCCTAAAAATATAGAAATCAGCTGGGTGTGGTGACACGTGCCTGTAATCCCAGCTACTTGACAGGCTGAGGCAGGAGAATCGCTTGAACCTGGGAAGTAGAGGTTGCACTGAGCTAATAGAACGAGACTGTGTCTCAACCAATCAATCAGCGAAAATTAGCCTAGCATGGCGGTGCGCGCCTGTAATCCCAGCTACTCAGGAGGCCGAGGCAGGAGAATCGCTTGAACCCAGGAGGCGGAGGTTGCAGTGAGTCAAGATCGTGCCGCTGCATTCCGGCCTGGGCAACAGAGTGAGACTTCATCTCGGAGGGGAAAAAAAAAAAAAAAAAAAAGGAAGAAGAAGAAAGAAAAGAAAAAACAAAAGAAAAAAGAAAATAGAACAAATAGAGGGGAAATTAATTATTACATATGTTTCTTCTGTAGCCAGAAACTGGCTTACAGCAAGTATTTATTTTTTTAAAAAACTCTATAATGAAAACAACGAAGAGAACAAAAGAGAAAACAGAAAGTTTTCAATCTAAAGTCAAAGATGTGCAGAGGAAATGAAAAATGAGGTTGCACACACAGGTGGTTCACTGAACAGCCACTGCTTGTTTTCTGACACACATATATATATGTATAAATATATACACCACCTGCAAGAGGTGATAACTTTAAGGACCTTACACTTTTGTAGTGTTCACGACAAAACTGAAACACTGCATATATATATTTAAAAAACCGAATACTTCGTTTTCCAAAGATAATTTAGGATGCTGAAGACGCAAAGCTACTTTCACCTCCAAATGCGTGTGCTGTATATGCTGGTTAGTACAACAAAATCGGAGTAGGTCATTACAGAAGTGGAGTGAAAACTCCCCAGAATAAAATACTTCAAGTGAGGATGGACCTGTCAACTTGCAAATGTACATCTCTCCCTTACAGTTCCGGGTATAAGAACCACAGGCAGTTCTCAGCTGAAATGTGCCAGAGGGCAGATGTGTTGAAGGGCTAACAGGCTGGAAGCTTTGTTCTAGTAAATACGCAACTGCTGCTTCACAGGGCGTTTTCTTTGTTTTTAAATGTCTTTTTAAAAAGGAGACAGACAAGTCTTAAGAGTTAGTAGACGAGACAGGAGCTCTGTCTCAAGACAATTGCGAATTCAGAGGTCTTTAGATCTTCCTGCTGCTGGTCGCGGGTCGAGGAAATAAAAGAGGACAAGACACTGGAAGGGGCCGAGACAGACGGTGCAGGGACACACACCCCTTGGGGACGGTCCTCCAGCTCCGCGAACAGGTTTCCAGAGCCCGCCCGCCCTCCAACGCAGCTGGTCAAGCCTAGAAAGCCCGGGGAAAGGGAAGACCCTACCCTGGTCGCCCCGGAGGCAGCCAGGACTAGGCGCGGAGTCGGGGTTTCCCATTTACCCCGCCCCCCACCCCGAGAGGACCCCCACCTTTTCTCCCCTCCACACTGAGCGCGCGCCCGCTCCTCGCTCGACCCCAGGCGGCCGGCGGCCCCAACCGAGCCCGGAACACAAGCGTCGGGCGGTCGGGCGGCCTGGGTCCCCGGGTGACAACCCTTCTCCCGCAGCCCAGTGCCAAGAAAAAGGGTCGGAACCGGAGAAAACCGCCATAACCGCCAAGCGCCCCCCGCCGCCGCCGCGGAGACGAGAGGGCTCCCGCCCGGCGCTTCACACCCACCTGCCTCCCCCGGCGGCCCCCGCGCCGGCTCCCGCGGCCCCGCCGCCGCCAGCACCAGCTCCCGGCCGCAGCGCCATCTTGCTCCGGGCCCGCCGCCCTCGCCGCCGCCCTCGCCGCCGCCGCCTTCGCAGCAGCTGTCGGCTGAAGACAGCCACTTCCGGGGCAAACGCCGGGCCGCGCGCCCCGCGGACCGCGCGGCGGGGCGGGGCCTCGCGCCCACGTGACTCCCGCGGGCCTCGAGGGGGCGTGGCGCGCCCTCGGCACGTGACCCGCCCCCGGCACGTGACCCGGCACCGCGATGGGCCTCCAGGTTCGGTTCTGGCTCTCGGGCTGGTGGGGCGGCCGCGGGCGCCTCTCCGAGGGAGCCGATTCATTGCCTGGCAGGGCCCAGCTGGCCGCCGAGTGGCAAAGCGCCGTGGGTCCAGCGTTTGAAAACCGTGATCTCGGTTTAGTGCAGAGAGTAAGCTGAGTCCTGCTTTGAACTAGACGGTGGGACGCTGGCGTTTTTATGATGACCCTTCACGCACAAGGAACAGATGGTTCCTTAAGGGATAGTCTCAGCACCGATTAGTGATCAGCTCTTCCTCCTTTCCCTGGAACTCGACAGCCTCACGTTGGCACCCACCACAGACGCTGAAGGCATTTATCAACCAAGAGCACAAAAACCCAAGCCACACTAAAAAAAAATCTCCAAGGTGTACTACTCTTGTAGGGTTCTGTCATCCTGCCACTCACAGTCCCTTTGTTTTTCCTATTCTTGCAGGCAAGTGCAAAACAGCTTTTTTGAAAGCAGTTCATAATTACTCTGAAGCTATTTTGGCATATTTCTCACTGTGATTTTTTTTTTTTTTTTTTTTTTTGAGAGTCTTGGTCTGTTGTCCAGGCTGTAGTGCAGTGGCATGATCATGGCTCACAGCAGCCTCAATCTCCTGGGCTGAAGTGATCCTCTCGCCTCAGCCTCCTGAGTAGCTGGGACCACAGGCACGCACCACCACGCCGGGCCAATTTTTTTTTGTGGAGATAGGATCTATGTTGCCCACGCCGGTCTCAAACTCCTGGGCTCAAGCTATGCTCCCACCTTGGCCTCCCAGTGCCAGGATGTGAGCCACCACGCCTGGCCTGTGATTTCTTTTTGTTCCTCTTCTTTGCCTATTGATTTTTACATTTGCAGGACTCAACTCAGGATGTCGGCCTTCCAATAACAACCCCAATCTGTGTTAGATGCCATCCTGTGATGCTTTAGCATCATGGCCTTACATCTAACAGAGCACTTGCCACACGAGTCCTGTGCTACATGATGATGTTTTGGTCAGCGACAGATAGCAGATACAACGGTGGGATGAGAAGTGGAGGTGGAAGACAGAGAGACTAATGATCCTAACCTTTTGTAGACCTAGCATAATGTGTTTGTGCCTTAGTTTTTAACAAAAAAGCTTAAAAGTAAACAGTAAAATTTAAAAAAAAGAAAACAACTTCTAGAATAAGGATATAAAGAAAAAAATTTTTTTTACAGCTGTACGTTTGCATTTTAGGCTAAGTGTTATTACAAGAGTCAGAAAGTCTAAAAAGGCCAGGTGCAGTGGCTCACCTGAGGTCAGGAGTTTGTGACCAGCCTGGACAACATGGTCAAACTCCGTCTCTACTAAAAATACAAAAATGAGAAATGAGTTGGGTGTGGTGGCACACGCTTGCAGTCCCAGCAACTCAGGAGGGTGAGGCAGGATAATCACTTGAACCCAGGAGGCAGAGATTGCAGTGAGCTGAGATCATACCACTGTATTCGAGTCTGGGCAACAGAGCAAGACTCTCATCTCAAAAAAGAAAAGAAAAGAAAAAAAATCTAAAAAACCCAATCTGGACAACAAGCAAGACCTCGTCTCGTCTCTACAAAAATAAATAATAAAAAAAAATTCACTGAGTTTGGTGGCCTGCACCGATAGTATCAGCTACTTGAGAAGCTGAGGTTGGAGGGTAACTTTGGCCTAAGAGGTCGAGTCTGCAGTAAGCCATGATTGTGCCACTAAACTCCAGACTAGGTAACAAACCCTGTTTCTCAAAAAAGAGAAAAACAAAATCTTATAAAGTAAAAAAGTTAACAGTAAGCTAATTTATTGAAGAAAAGATACGTTATATATGTATATTACACACACACACACACACACACACACACACACACACATTTCTTTTCTTTTTTGAGACAGTCTTGCTCTATCTCCCAGGCTGGAGTGCAGTAGTGCAATCTCGACTCAATGTAACCTTCACCTCCCAGCTTCAAGCGATTCTCCTGCCTCAGCCTCCTGATTAGCTGGGACTACAGGTGCATGCCACCATACCTGGCTAACACTTTTTTGTATTTTTTCTTTAGTAGAGATGGGGTTTCGCAATGTTGTCCAGGCTGGACTTGAACTCCTGAGCTCAGATGATCTGCTCACCTAGGTCTCCCAAAGTAGTAGGATTACAGGTGTGAGCCACCATGCCTGGCCAAAAAAATATTTTTAATAAATTTAGTAAAGGCTAAGCATGCAATGTTTGGAACAGTCTACAGTAGGGTATGTTCCAACTGCCTATAGCATTCAGGACACTAACATGCTGTATGGGTTTGTAGCCTAGGAGCAACAGACTACACCATATAGCCTAGGTGTACAGCAGGCTATACCATCTAGGTTTGTGGAAGTATAAAACATATGTTCACACAATGATACAATTACCTAACAATGTGTTTCTCAGAATGTGTCACTGTCATTAAGTGATACCTTAATGACATCCTCTACCTTATCTCTAACATTATATTGTAAGGGTAGGCACTGTGTTATCAAGCCTGTATTCCTAATAATATCTATGTTTGTTAAAGGAACACTTATTGTGAGTTTATGATGTGTCAGGCACACTGCTACGTACTTCCAATTTGAGACATGATTTCATAGATGAGAACACTGAAACTCTGAGAAATTAAGAACTTATTCAAAGTCACTCAGCTGGCAAATGGCTTGCACCAGTATACCTACCTCTAGTATATATATTGAGTAAAGGATCCGTTTGCATGAACAAACAAAAAATTCATATTCTTGTAAGTATTTTTATACCCTGTACCAGTAGTTCTTTCTTTAAATAAATTCTGAACAGGAACAATTTCTGTCCCATCTAAAATATTCAAAACAAAGTCCACCTGTTTGGACTGTAGAATCAAAAGCTACGAATAAAGGAAATAAGTAAGTTGAATTCAAATGCTGCTGAGAATACTTCATGGTCGCACTGATAACATTCACGTCATTCTTAGGCACCAGTCTTATACGTACAAAGTCAATTTTTCATTCCATTATATAGAACTTATATTTGAGAAAAATCGAATGGCTAATAGTCTCCAACACCATATGATCATAATCCTTTAGCTTAGGCAGAGATCTGCTTACTAGATGAGGAGCCATCAACCTAAGGGAAGATAAGATGTAAGAGAATGAAGACAGAGGTGTATCAAGTAACAGGAATGTTCTTCCTTATCAGGATAAAATGTTTATCAGTATTCAAATAAAATAATCTTAAGTGGAAAGAGACAGGAGAGAGCATGGTTAAATGATGGAAAATGAAGCAAGGGAGAAGCTGATCCTGATGCTGTGCAATATTATGACAGCTGAGGTATTAAGTGTCCAATACAAGGATGCTTAATAGACCAAAGAATTTAAAATCCCAGGGAACTTGAATAACCAGCCACAGAAGAGGCCATCAACAAATTAGGAAATATTAAGAGAGCAGCAGGTTTCTTCTTGGTAGACAGCCCATACTACCATCCACAAAAAAAGTGAGGGGTCGAAGGGGTATTTAATGTGAAGGCTTTATTTAGAATTTCTGTTCCAGATGCCTCTCCATAGCATTCATTACACCTTCCTTCACATTTGAAGGGCAAAGTCCTTAAGAGTTCCCCACATTTGGGTGATATTTTTAGCATAAACTTTTGTTCTTCTATAAGAAGTATCTCTCTGGATTCAAACCCCAGAAATGTCAATGAATGTTATTTCCATTGTATAATCATTTAAAAGTCAACTACAGGTACAGCAGCTTGTGCCTATAATCTCAGCTACTCAGGAGGCGGAGGCATGATGATTGCATGAGGTCAGGAGTTCAAGACCAACCATGGCAACATAGGGAGATCCCATCTCTCAAGAAAAAAAACAAGGCACCTACAAATTGAAATTGACTTGAAAGTTTAGGATCATTTTTCACCAGTCCATGTACTTGTATTTGATTTCAAATGTTTGGTACAGGTGACTGTAAGACTTCAAGTATTCCATGAGAACAACATTCATGCTGGGATCACAAAATTGCATTTCTGGGACACTGTTTTTAAAGTCTGCTTTTAATTTTTGTCTTCAAAAGCTACTTTCTTCTTGCTGTTCTGACCAGTGACCTTTTTCCTGTGAAGAGGAAAGTAAGGAAAACTGAATAAAAAATTCTAGATATATTTACTTTCTATAACCCTACCACTAGTTTAATAAACATTGACTGAAACCTACTGTATATTAAATAATGAGGCACTAGAAACACAGAGATGCATTAGACATGGTCTCTGCCCTTTAGAAAATCACAATCACCTAAATGAGGCAAAACCATCACAGTAAACTACATGATTACATGGTATGAAAGAGAGATTCGGATCCTGACCTAATGAGTTCACACTGATCCAGTGCCTGCTAAGTGCTAGACACTGTTATTAAGTGCTTTACATGGATTAACTGGGGTAATCTTCCTAACAACTTATGAGGAGTATTTTATTATTATCGTCTGTTTACAGATGAGAAAAATGAGGCACAGAGTGGTTAAGTAACTTGTCAGTCATCACTCATGGAAGAAAGGGAAAAGCTGATCATGTAATCCATGTTGGACATGAATCCTATCTGTCTGATCCTATAGCCTAGTGAAGGTTGAATGTCATTAACTAAGCGGTAACAGGTAAAGGAACGAAGTTTTGAGAAAATAATCAGTGTTTGCAAACTATGATTACAGTAATACAAAGTTCTTTGGTATACATTAACTCATACAATTCCAAATCCCAGCTCCACACAAGGAAGTAGATAATAGAACCAGTTCTTCTGGCTCCAAATCCAGTTCCTCCCCACTCCCTGCAGGGGGCCGAGTTTGTGGTACCTGAAGTGAGGTCCACTAGGCCACAAGGATTCAGGTTTGTAGCTCAATGGGGAAGTTGGG